CTCCGGTCGTGGGCCTGAACTCTGGGCCTGGGCACTGTCCCTCAGCTCTTCAGCTCAAGGCTAGCGCTCTACCACTGAGCCACCTTCCCAGCCCCCCCTTTTTTTTTTAATCTCTGCTGAGTTAAGTCTGTGACACAAATCCCTCAAACTTCAGTTTCAAGATTCAAATATGGGTGAACTTCTTAATTTCAGTTCTTGCACACACCCCTTGAGTGTGTGCCAGGGTTTCAGTGATATAACATCTTGTCCTTGAAAAAGCTCAGACAAATCTTGTTCTAAATTTTACACAGTGCTTCAATTTGAAGAGTTTGAGCATGACTCTGTTTGGAGGAGCATAGTAGTTCAGGACTCTAAGGTCAGATCTGAAGGAGTTTTAAAGCAATCATGTGGTTGACAGGTGAGACTTGTTCATGAGTTAATCTACTCTTTTCTAGGATGGGCTAATGTCTCTGATAGGTCTTCCTCAAAACTGTTTCTCAATCTACCTTCCATTCCCAGCCCAAAGTATACGCGTATCTTTTCTCCCTCATTCAAATAGGCACAATTACTAGTTTACTATTAAACTTCACCTCTCAAATGAAGACCCAGTATCCCTGAAGCAGACGACTCTCACACAGATACAGGTGACGATGCCATTGAAGTGTGAGACATCAACATAGCATGTCATCTTTATGGACAACGGCTAAGTACTGACCCTCTATCTATTATGAGGCCTAGCAAGCTAGATAGTTGTAAGTCTTTGGCAGCATACTAGGCTCCAGCTTCAATGGCAGCTTGTATCTATCATTTTTTCTGGAGAAAAGGTATGGAGTATATGTTACCTACGGGTGACTTATGGACCAAACCTAACCTATGAGCAACCCATATACATCATCCAACAGTGAGATACAGACAAAAATTGTTGAGAATCTTGGGGAAAAACATAGTATCATAATTTTCTTGTAAAAGATAACCTCAAGGGGAAAAGACATGATGGGAAAAGCCTCCATACCACCCAGGGTAGAAGTTTAGCTATTAAATATTCAACTGAACCAGACCAGGGATCTCACCCCTATAATCCCAGTTAGGAGGCTGAGATCAGATCTTCAGATCTCAGCTCAAAGCCAGCCCATCCAGAAAAGTTCATGAAACTGGTATCTCCAATTAACCAGCAAAACAAAACAAAACAAAAATGAAGCTCTGGTTTAAGTGGTAGAACACCAGCCTTCAGCAAAAAAGCTCATGCCTGTAATTCTAGCTACTAGAAACTGAGATCTGAGGATTATGTTTCAAAGCCAGCCCAGGCAGGAAAGTCCTTGAGACTCTTAATACCTAATTGACCACCACAAAGCCAGAAGTGGAGCTCTGGCTCAAGTGGTAGAGAATTAGCCTTATCCAAAATAGCTCAGAGATGATACCCAGACCCCGAGTTCAAGCCTTACTATTGACAGAATAAGTAAACAAATAAATATAATGGAACAACCACCACCTTGTTAACAAAAACTGAACAGTAGCACAGATGTTAGCATCATGCTTTTAAAATCAAAATTTACCAAAACATGAGTATTTTCATGTTTGGGGGTATGTATTTAGCAAGGTTAGGGAACTTTGTTCTGCCAAGGGCAGTTTGAATATGAATAAGGATATTCAAGGGCCATATAAAATTATCAGCCCAGCAACTCTGAGCAGCTCAGGAGAAGCCTATAAGAAGCCTATGTGTTTGCCCAGTCATGTACTGAATGATTTCCTGGGCTTAATATGGTCCAAGGGCTGGACAGTCCCCAACCCTGAAATTTCAAAGAATATCATAGTCTAGAAGACAGCTTTTACTTTTGCTTGCTCATTTATATGTTAGTGCTGTACTAATGCTGAAGTTGCAGTGACTCTTAATTTTAAGGCAAATCAGGCTATTCAAAATCTAATTAAAACAAGAAATAATTAGTTGGGCTTGTGGTGCAGTACAATAAATATGTAATTCATAAACCTTTTGCAAAGACTTATGAATAAAGGCTAAAGTTATTTTCTAATTGTCACTGAAACAATTAAAATAAGAAATGTGCATCTCAGACAGGCTATTGTGGGAGTCCTAGGGGAAAAAAGTATGGGAGCAATATTTTATAGTGGTTTTACTACCTGCTTTCTGCTAACATAAACATTTAGCAACAATAACAAAATCAGACCTAATGGCTGTAAAAACTAGCAAAACACCCATTATAAGGTATTGTTAGAAAGCATGCTTGAGTCAAGGTGAAATCTCAACAAAGTAACCAAATCAAGTATCCATTTGTTTAAAAATACATTTGGGGAAAATGTAGAAAAGAAATATCTGTTTTTATAAATATCTCTAATTTGATTTTCGACTTCTTTCTAAAATTGTGCAGGGAGAACCCCCAGCAGGAAGTTTGATAGTTCTTTTACTCTTCCCCTGAGCAAAGGTGGCTGGTTTGTGCTATGTAGGGCTGTGCTACTAATTATTTCCAATCTCTCTACCTTTGAAGTGGCCTTAAAATCATGAATACTTTGCTTGGGATTGAACTCAGAGCCTTATGCATACTATGTAATCATGTCACCACTGAGATATTTGCCATAGGGTACACACTCAGCCTATTTTGTAAGTTCTGTCTGGAAGCAAATAGCTACTTTTGTGCACTTAGCACTTGCATTGATGAATGAAGAAGGAAAGGCACAGTAGTCTATTTATTTATTTATTGTTGGTACTAGGGATTAAACTAACAGGTTTGTACTTGCAGATTGCATACTTGAGCCACAACTCCAATCCTTTTTGCTTCAGTTATTTGGGGGAGGGGGGAGAATATCCAGTGTCTGCCTGGACTGGCCTTGACCATGATCTTCCTATTTATGTTTCATATATAGCTGGGATAACAGGCATATACCTATTGGTTGATGTGGGGACTCTCCTAAACTTTCTGCTTCGAACCACAATTTTCCTAATCTCTGCCTCTTGAGTAGCCTGGATTGCAGACATGAGCCACCACACCCAGACAAGAAAGTCTTAAAGAGTGTGAGACATATAACTTTAATCTGTGGATATTGTTGTCATTATCTTGCATTAATAGCAATATAAAGCCCAGTAGTCTGCTGAGTTCACTTTGGAGGACATATTAAGAAGTGACAAAACCCTTCCTGTAATATTAATCCATAATGTAACAGAAGAATGCCTGTGATTTGGTTTCTTTGCCACTGAAGCTAATGTAGACACTGATGGATGAGAACAATACAATTTCATAGGAAAAGGTTTTAATCAGTCGTTAAAACATTTTCTACCTGAAATATTAGCTTCATTTCTCCTAGTGTCTGTAAATTGACTAGGGTTGACTAAGTAATTGTATTTTACATGTCTAAATACAGATGAAAGACAGTCACATGGTCTAGAATCATGTACAATGGGGCAAACAGCATGCTTACCCTTCAGGCATGGATTTCTGTCTGTAGGTGCTGCCCCCAGAGCCTGTCTCGCTGGATGAAGACAGGTTGCTAGGGGAGTTACGACACTGAGATCTTGCTAAAGCCATGGATGAGACAGTCACATAGATGTCCGAACCCGGAGACAGGCTGCATATGCAAACCAAAAATATGAAGTCAACAATCCAAAAGGAAAACTCCTAATGCAATGCATGATGGATAATATCATATAAATGTGACAAAGGCAGCGACTTCATAGAGATAGTGAAAATGAAGCCAGCTGGAAGCCTACAAAAGAATCTTTCCCATAAAACTCCCTAAGGGAACAGCTGGAAAATTGCCTTGAAAGGGGTGGGGGTGGGGGTGTCAAAAAATAATGGGGGAAAAGAACAAGAAAACATGTATGCTTCCAAAATCTGCCAGAATTCAGTAGAATTACTTGTGTAGTCTCCTAGCATGGCAGAGCAGAGCATAATTGAACCCAAGTGACATTAACACAGCAATTAATTCTGATTTCTCACAGAAATTTAGTCCTCCCAGAATACATAACCACAGTGAGATGGCCACGGTCTTTGTTTGCTTCTTTGTGGTCCAATTTTACTGCTCAAAGTCTGGAATGAATATTCAGACTTTGCTATTTAGTATTTGATACTAGCATCACCATACATAAGAACCTCCATGAATTTACTTAGATTTATATCATTTCACAGTAGAAATGTGCTACAGCATGGACCCTTCATTCTATCCACTGGTTATTGAGGCAGAAGCTGGAGCTTTTGGGAAGGACAAGTGGATTTTCTCCCTGTATCTTCTCTACACTAGAAGAGAACGGGGTGTCTACAAGGATGTCAATACATGTCACTGGCCATTGTGACCAGGTACTGAAAAAAGTTAGTATTATTTTGCTCTAAAATTGAATGTTGGCACAGCCTCTCAATTTTGAGAAAGTAGAAGTTAAGTCACTCCTTCCAGGTTGTAATGTACCAGGCTTCTTGATTAAGTCTACTGTACTCTATATTAAACTACTGCTATTAAAGAGGGCCGTTTCCTTTTCTTCCTGAGTCTGTAATGGTTCTAGGATGTTCCAAGATCTTTGTACCTCAACCTATTTTATATTCTGGAAGCCTTGGGATAGAACCTGATTCACTAGAATGAGGTCATTCCCACTGTGAGCCTATGGACCTATGCAGCAGGAAAGAGACTCGGGCAAAGAAGGTGACATAAGGGATAACAGAATCACACTGAGAAACTACTTTAATAGAAAAAGAACAAGAATACATTTTAAGAAGTATGTAAGTCCCAAGTTTATCTATGTTCATGAGGCAAATCTGAGTTGAGAGCTCCAAGTTCTCTCCAGATGTCTCCTAGCCATCTCTTCCTAACTACCCCACCAGTAATTAAAAATAGTTTTCCCCAAGGCCCTAACACTCAACTTACCCCTCCTCTGCTTGTTATCTCAAGCTAAACATCTCGAAGCCATTTTTAGGTTCCTCTTTCCTCAACTGCCAGAATCAACAGGCCTAATTACATTGAACTATTGTTTACTGTGTAGGAATTATGTCTCAGGAACCCAGGTGCCAAGATATCTGGTCTCCATCCTGATGGTCATCCTCTAAATTATCTCCTCACTAGTCTAGAGCAGTAAAATCTTTTGGTCAGCTGATTTCCAATGCCTCCTTCTCATATTCTCTATCATTCTTCCTCTACCATGTCATCTAAATGCTAGAAGCTTTTTTCAAGTTTCCCTTTTACAGGGATAAAAATCCCTGGCACCCATACAGGGCTCTCAGTCATCTGACCTGACCCCACCCTCATCTCTACCTGCACCCCACATGCCTGACAAGTTGAGATGCATGCTTTCTCCTTTCTCCTTACACAAAATCCTTTTTTCAAAGCCAAATTCATCTTTGAATTCATTAAACAGAACTTCCTCATATCCTGGAAGTCTGTTCTTTGCACCATCAAAATATATCCTATAGATCAGTGAGGTTTTCAATGTATGTGTCTCTCCACTAGCTTCTTCCCTGAAAAGATAGGACTAATCCTTATTTATCTCTATTTCTTGGTGTGCTTAATGTATGTTTTCAGAATGAAGGATCAAGTAGAATGGGGCAAGGGCCCACAATTACATTATATATTCAACTCCAGGGATCCTTAACCATTGTGGATCTATACAAGTCAAAAAATTGATGGTTACTAGTAATACAGTACTTCAACTTGTTAACTGAAAACAGTGATAATGTTAGTATGCTTTTATAAATGTAAGAAAACAGGGATGGAGTTACAGATGGTAGAATTATGTCACAAAGTCATTAAACTTACAAATAGTGAAAAAGTGTAATGACAATGCCTGCTCTAAATAGTTTGAAATAAGACAAACAAGATGACCTTGGGAGACTAGTCTTTGGGGAATGTGACTAGGAAAAAGAGTTTCTAGGCTCTTCCCATCATGAATACCAATCTTTGTCCCTGTAGCTAATGTCTAATTAATTCCATGTTTTTTCATGTCATAGATGCAGTGTGAAAGCCCAATTTTCATAGATGTCTGAGATACTTGCTTTTTGTTCTACCACTAATTAGAATAAGAGTTGTTCCCATACTGTATCTGCTGCTTTCAACATCACCCACCTTTGTATTGTTACCCAGTCTGAGAAAGGAGAAGTCTGCCACACAGACTCCAGTGAAGATCCCAAGAAACCGGGGTGGGGGGGGCCCCTCTGGGTGGAGTAGCTATAATGAGTCAGTGATCAATGGAACACTAGCTCATCTCTATTATGGGGTAATGAGTTTAGATAGGAGAAAGATCAAAACATTTATCCAGGTATCATAAATTGATGCCTCATAATTCCTGTCCACCAAGAAATCTCCCAAATTTTCTCACAACTTATTCTAAGTAAAGTCTGGATTGAAGGAGAAGGTGAGGAAAAATCTACGAAAAGACAAGAACAAGCAAAAACTTCCCACAAAAACTTCCCACCTCACCCCAGTTAGAATGGCTAAAATCAAGAACTCTAATAACAACAGATGCTGGAGGGGATGTGGTCAGAAGGGAACCTTACTGCATTGTTGGTAGGAGTGTAAACTTGTTCAACCACTTTGGAAAGCAGTATGGAGGTTCCTCAAAAGACTCCACATATACATATACACACACACACACAAACACACACACTCACACACACAGAGACACACAATGGAATTCTATGCCTCCATCAGAAAGGATGACATTGCCCCATTTGTTAGGAAATGCAAAGACTTGGAAAAAATTATATTAAGTGAAGTAAGCCAGGCCCAAAGAAACATAGGTCCCATGGTTTCCCTTATTTGCAATATCTAGTATATGTCTGAGTCAAGCAGAAAAGGTCAGATAAGTTGATGTTAGGGAAATGAACCCCAAGATATGTATTCAAATGTTTTTTTTCTTTCAAGCGATTGTTTCTAACACATTTATAAGATTATTTCTTTGTTGCTTTGTATGTCCCTCCCCCATGGTATAACCCCTGCTTTCACTGTATTTGATGTTGGTATAATAATCATTTAAATAGAGATACAGGTGGACCCATTGCAACAATGAGATGTATAAGTCCTTACGTTGAAAATGAACTTTACAACTTTGCTGGGGGGGGGGAATTGGGGAGGGGCAGGGGGAGGATGGAAAGGGAAGGGGAAACAAAGGAGGACCTATAATGCTTGATAAGAAATGTACTCATTCTCTTGCCCATGTAATTGTAACCCCTCTGTACAGTATTTTCACACACACAAAAAAAAGAAAACAAAAACACAAAAATCTAAGGATTAAGAGATGGCATAACTCCAAATACAGTGGATACCATTCTTCTTTTTGCCTTAAGAGCTTGGCTTTTACATGTACCTAAAATAAAGTTTCATTTCATAAGTTTCATTTTAAAATTAAATCCTTTTGCTGCAAAGAGGAAGTGATATTTCAGAAAAACGGGGGTGGGGGTGGGGAAAAAGGAGACACAATAGAATGTGAAGACACCTGGGGCTAAGGTAGTATCTGGCCTGGTAACTTTTTTAGTTTCTTCTGGATAGGCAAGAAATGCCAGTGATACCTGGTAAAATGCTTATGCTTCAGTAAGGAAGTAACAATAGGGTTCCTTGGGAAAGTTAAGATGTAACTTTGTCTTTAGGGCTTGCTTTTCTTAGCCTGTTCTCCAAAACGTACATTAAGCTAAAATATCTCCTGTTAGTTTCAACCCTCAGTTCTTTTATTTGGTAAATGTATCAGAAAATTCTATCTGGTTACTGGAGTTGTCTCCCCCCCTATCCCCCCCCCAAAAAAAAGGCATTTCCAGAAGGCCAGCATTCATTCCCCCATCCCTCTTTAGAATTTATGTAACTCAATAGTAGCTTTGTTTTCTGACTGTTCACACACACAGAGCATACATACAGCAACTGATGGAATATTACCCGAATGTTTTTACAGCTCCAGATGCAAGTACACTGGGCAAAAAATAAATAAAAAAATATAGAGAGATTAGTCCTTATTCTTGCTATTTGTGACTTCCTATTCTTTCCAAACACTGTGATGTTAATGCCATCACCTAAATATCTGAGACCAGACATATTCAGGGAGGAGGCACTACTCCCTTGATGCTGGTAATCTACTTCTACCAAAGGGCTGAATGATACTTATTGCTAGAACTTGGCCTTCATGCTGCTCTTCTACTTTAAAAAGTGTGCTGACAAAGAACAGTCTCCTCCAACTGGCTTCTAGCTTGCTGACTTCCTCAACCTGTCTACCCTGTCCACACCCTGCAACTATGAATTAAGAGTTGCTACATCCACTAAATTACAGCAGTGTCACCAGTCCTTTTTTCTGAGATAAATCCAGATCTTTCTGCTTTAGAGGGCCCAAAAATCTAAAGCTAGTGACCAAACAGGTTTAGAAAATGAATATTAATAACTCAGCTACTGTGAGATCTTTCAACTCTATGGAAAGGAATTCTCTAAATGTTTTAGCATTGATTTCAGAGGTCTCTCTTCCCTACATTTAAAATTCTTCTTAGTTAAGAAATAGACAAATGTAGTTGCATGCTGGTAGTGCTCATATCTGCAATCCTAACTACTTTGAAGGTTGAGAGCAGAAGGCCCAGATCAACCCTGGCAGAGAAGTTCTAAAGCCTTATCTC